TCATGTATGTCTCTAAGGGATTCATCATCTTGCTTTCTCTTAAAGGGGTATTGAAAGTTATCATGGCTTCTCTACAAAAAAATTTCTAGAAGATCTTCATTGTAAATTGTGCACTTACGATGTAACTATAATATTCTTTTCTCAATATCTAGAACTGCTAAGTCACAAACTTTCCCATTGCATTTTGTGTTTGTACAACATTTCATTGCTTTTGTTAATGGTGTATAGCACTCTGAGCAGTAATGATATACTGTGACTTGATTACACTCTTTCATTAATCTTTTAAGTTGATAAAAGTTGCTTGGGAGTGTATTAGGTGTTGGACAATGTATCTAATTCAAAAAGGAAGCTTGTAACTTATGCTCATCAATAATATTATTCAGTTTAGTGGCTATATACCTGCAGTAATGCAAGGAGGTCTTCTACAGCCTTGTATGACAAATGGTTTACAACTGCATAGTGCATCAAAGAATATGAGCTTGCTGTTGCACTAATTTTGCTTCCTTCATAAAGAGGCAATACAGTCTCATCTATAGAATTCTCATGATACATGAAGTTATCAGAAATATGACAAACCTCTGCCTTCATCTCCACTGTCTGCATTGCTGAATGCTGCAGCAGTCACTGTGTTATCTTCACTGTCATCTTCTACAATATAATGACCAATTGACCATGCATTTTTATAAATCTACATGTCAGTATACATGTAGTATATTATCGTTTGTACCAGTTGTATCTTGATCACTTAAGGTGCTGGCAACATCTCCTTCATTGTAATAGCTATCAAAATGATCACATTCAGATAATTCCTCGTCACAAACTTCCTCACTTAGTATATCTGCTTTGCAATGCAAATTAAGAAATACTATGCCATAAGAGTACCTTCTGGATATATATAGTCTCATGAATTGTTTCAATGCTTTCAGCATCAGACTCCAAATCAGTACATTCTGAACTGTCCAAATCACTCATTACTGCATCACTTGCCACTCCTTTATCTAGAATTGTATCTTCATGAATCATAACTCAGAGAAATAATCCTAAAATTAAGTTTCTCACCTCCACATTTTTTCCAGCTCCAAGCTGTTTGTCTTGGAATCTTAATCTGGCTACTTTTATTATAGAGTCTTCTCTTTCTGCGACCACTATAGATCTATAGCAATGATCTGCTGCACTGCTGCTTGTAGTACTACTGGTAGATTCGTTATGATTCAATGCAGTTTTAGACTTTTTGCTGTGTCTCCAAGTTGTTGTCTTTGGCACAGGAAGAGTTGGGTCACACAAGTATTGCTTATATTTATGCTTGTATCCTCACTTTCCTAAACATTCTTCCCCTGACATTTTTATTAATAATCAGTATAGATCTAATTGTGATTACAATGAATCCACTAATCAAAGTACGCATGCGCACTGTAAAGCACATGTTTAATTGTTTACAGTTTACAGCTTGTTCGCGTAAAGTTGTGAAGTCGTGAGGTCTCGTATTACTTGGTCTTGGTATATCATCATCTACATTCTACACAGTCTTCTCATTCGTCTTCCTTTGTGATAAACTACAAGCCAGGAGATAATCTTTGATACTGCTAAGCTTAAGATGCAGCGTGGTACCAAGAGAAGTAGGCAATCTACCGTCAAAGGAAAAGAGTTGAGTCAATATTACAAGGAGCCATGTAAAGATGGTATGTATTGTAGTTGCAACTAGTTAACACAGTAATGACAGCATTTTCGGGTCAGTTTTGAAAGTAGTTGCAGAGGCGTGGTCTGTTTTAATTGTAATTGCTGGCATCATTATTGTATGATAACTGATTACATGTAATTAAGTGTTGTTTCAGTTAACAGCTATAACTAAATTAAGAAATTAAAGAAATTAACTAACTATTACTAACTAAAATTTAATGGCTCAATGTTCAAACTGAAGTACCATTATCACTGCATACTAGTTCCTACTCCTAAATAATAATGTCATTTTAGGTAACTTAGCCCCGTTTACACTTCAAACCAGTTTACATTAAGGCCTTGTTTATACTACTACATAATGTACATTCAGGTGTTTGCACTAAGGCTACGTTTACACAGCAACAACAACTAGTATGCAATCGGTTTTGTAGTGCTGTGTAAACGTAGCCTTAGTGTAAACACTTGAAAGCAGTACACTGAATAGCAAAACAAAAGAATAAAAATGTGATAGAATATTGATAGAACTTTATGGAAGCAAAAAACAAAAACAGTGTTCAAAGTGTATCGCTTTTAAAATGATGGTTTTTTGCTGCTGTGTAAACCCAGCCTGACTTAGCAGCTGCATTTTGCTGCAGTACCAGTTTGATTATCTCAAACCACCCACTTGTGGTGGTTTACTGAGATAAGTCACTTGAATTTGAAACCTCATTGAAATTGTCTTCATAAACTGGTTTATGTGTAAATAGGGCTTATAACTGAAACTACTTCTACTTTTAGTTAACTAACTATAACTAACTAAATCTTTCTTAAACTATAACTATAACTTACTAAAGATATTTTGAAGTTTTGAATGAGCATAACTAAAAGTATTTTTATTGAAGCACAACTAACTAAAACTAACTAAAATCAATATGTAAAGTTCCATAACTAACTATTACTAACTAAAAGTCTTTTGTAACTAAAACAACATTAATGTGTATCAATATTTATAACAAGTGGCTATTATGATGCTATTAATAGTTTGGTGCACTGTTGAACTGATGAAGACTGATGGTTCTATCAAAAAAGAGTATCATGTGAAGTCAAATTATTTGGAAACAGAATTGGGAGAAAAAGTCACTGAAAGAGATTTGTTCTATGGTAATCATCTTATATGGAAGTGTAAAGGAGCTTGTTATGAAGTTTCAATATGTGGAACACATAGTAAGTATGAAATGCTTCTTTAACTGAATTATGCTTAACAATTGATCCAGTCAAGTTTTCTAAGTTTGCCAAAAATATAGTTTCCCCTTTGTTTAGCAAGATTGCCCAAATTAAAGTAATATTATTGTTATTAATTTAATCATAGGAGAAAAGCCATTAACTGCTAAGAATGTTCCTAGTGAATCTGATGTTGAGGAACAGTCTGATGTAGAGGCAGAGCAAACACAAAAAAAGAAGAGTATGTTTTTTCTTTTAAACTACAAATTTGATATTAATTACTATTAAATTTAACAAATACATTGCATTAGAAATTGTCGGAGTCCTTCAAGAGCATGACCATTCTGCCACTTCTTCTAAGGAATGCTCCCAAGGTAGTGAACAAGCTAGTCAAAGATCATTTACTTTGACTCAAATGCCATTAACTCAAGTTCAGTCAT